CGGTGAAGGAGGAGCAGCTGGTGACGGGCGCCGGGAGTAGACATTGTTGAAACGGGAAGCAGGCGGGGCCACGGGGGGCACCGGGGCTGTTGCCAGAGGCGGCGGGGGTGTGCGGGCGGGGCAGCTGCCAGAGGCAGCACAGGGGGTGCTGCTGGAGCCGGGGCAGCGGCCAGAGGCAGCATAGGGGGTGCTGCTGGTGCCGACGGGAGCACCTGGGAGGGCGCTGAAGGCACCGTTCGTGGTTGTTGTGCCACGGGCGGGGCGTGCCGAGGCGCGGAGAAGCCTGGTGGAGGAGGCCGGGACGCTGGCCCAGCCGGGCTGAGGGGCCAGAGCACCGACGAGGTGTCGTCAGGCAACTCGGACGCTGCCTGCGGCACGGTCTGCAGAGGGGCGTCGAGAGGCCGTAACAGATGTACCTGCAGAAGGTGAGGGAGCTGGTAGAGGCTCATCATTAGTTAGAAAATCAAGCTCTTCGGGAGGTGAGGTCCGGTGTCCGAGAGAAAGGAAAAGTCGTCTGTCAAGATGACATGACGAGAGATGATAACACGGTTGGAGGTGAGGTCGAGACACCGGTAGCCTTTGTGATCGGGGGAGTAGCCGATGAAGACACACAAAGTGGAGCGTGGGGCAAGTTTGTGGGGGGTGGTGGCAGTGAGGTTGGGATAGCAGGTGCACCCAAAAACTCGAAGTTCATGGTAGGAGGGTGGAGTACCATGGAGTGCGAAGAAGGGAGTAGTCATGTTGAGGGTCTTGGTGGGAAGACGGTTAAGAACATATGTGGCAGTGGAAAGAGCGTCGGCCCAGTAGGAGGGGGGCATGGACGCTTGGAAGAGTAGCGTGCGGATGACATTGTTAGTGGTGCGGATGGTGCGCTCAGCTTTGCCATTTTGCTGAGAGGTGTAGGGACATGACATGCGAAGAGAGACCGTGAGAGAGGAAAAAGGTGCGGGAGACAGAATTGTCAAACTCGCGACCGTTGTCACATTGGACAGATTTGATGGGGCACCCAAATTGAGTACGAACATACGCGAAGAAACTAGAAAGAACGGAAAAGGTGTCAGACTTAAGGCGAAGTGGAAAGGTCCATAGAAAATGAGAAAAGTCATCAAGGATAACTAAATAATATTTGAATCCAGATACACTGAGAACAGGCGATGTCCATAAATCACAATGTATCAGATCAAATGGTTTGGAAGCCCTTGACGAAGAACTAGTAAACGGAAGACGCACATGACGTCCTAGTCGGCAGTGAGCATGGCATAAATGGTCATCAATGGCCGATCGCAGCGATCGAAGAGGAGTGAGTGAGGCGTTGAAGAGCTTCCTTGCCGGGGTGACCAAGACGGCGGTGCCAGATGGACGATGAAGGAGTGGCGACAAGAGTGCAGGGAGCAGAAGGCGTCGATGGTAGCTGCAAGGTGTAGAGGGGCCCCGAGCTGTTACATCGAAGGAGGACGTTCTGCAATACGAAGATCCTTCACGAGAAATGCAGAGGGTCAAACTCAATAGAAACATGATTATCGTGAGTGAATTGGCGAATTGATAAAAGGTTTTTAATAATGCCAGGAGCAAAAAGAACATTGTTAAGGCGAAAAGGACCGGGAATGATCGAGTAGCCAGTGCCAACAACAGGGAGAGTGGCACCATTACCCACCACGATGGAGGAGGAAAAGGGGGAAGAGGATGTGCGGGTAACAATACCGAGGTTGGAGGCGATGTGGGAGGAGGCGCCGAGTCGAAAAACCCGTCTGGCTGTTGGTGGAGGAGTGGGTGGAGTGAGCGAGAGACGGTGCTGAAAGCTGGCGAGGGAATGAGGATCGAGGAGACCATGCTTTGGAGGTGGCGCATGAGGAGTAGGTAGCGGTGGGCGGTGAGTAGAGGCCCGCCACAGTGGAGGTGCCGGTAGCTGAGGGGAAGGCACGACCATCATGGCGTCTTCTTGAGGAGGAGGGCCGGCCGGCGTCTTTGGTGGAGTCGAGGACCGCCAGCGTGGGGCGGGCCACATGTGAATGGAGCCGGACCATGGGTTGTAGAGGGACGCCACTGGGGCCGCCTTTGGTTGCCCTCAAGTTGCGCGCTCGCCATGGGCGATGCCACGGCCATCGCTCAAGAGCCCCTCTTGGTAGGGAGCACGCCCGAGGATGAGGGGGCGCGAGAGGCGTAACTAGGTGCCTTGGCGAGTGGAAGGCGGCCCGCTTGATGAGGCGGCGAAAAGGGCGGAAGGAGCCGCTGAGGGCTACACCATGTTGAGCTCGGCGAGACGAAGATCGATCTGGACGTCCCGCAAATGGAGGGAACGGCTTCTGCGAGTGATGAGTTGAGCCATGAACTGGAACCGCTCATTGAGGCCCCGCAAGACGTTCAGCACCAGTGTGCGGTCGTTGAGGGGTTCACCAAGATCAGCGAGGGCGTCAGCCATGCCCTTCATCTTGCGGCAGTAGTCATCAACGTAGAGATCGCCTTGAGAGAGATTGCGGAATTCAGCATCAAGGAGCAAAGCCCGGGACTCACGGTTCCCCAGGAATTGCTGCTCCACCCCGAGCCAAGCCCACGAGCGGTGACACCGTGCGTGCTCGTGGATGATGTCGAGGAGGTCGGTGGAGATCTTGTTGAAGATCCAGGAGACGACCACACGTCCATGCGGTACTGCACCAAATTCGATTGGGGCGGGAATCGTCGCTGAGGACATGGTCCTTTAGGGAGTACCGACCAAGAGCAAGGAGAAGGTAGCCGCGCCACTTGGAGTAGTGGGGGGACTTGAGGTCGAGGACGATGGGGACCAGGTACTTGATGTTCTGGACGGCGCAGCTGGCTGCGGTGTGCAATAGCAAGCAACCTCGGAGAGGAGTGCTAAATTCGTCGTCGTCGTGGGCTTCATTGTCGTGGATGGCCTCGCACGAAGTCGCCCCGGATGGCGCCGCTTGCGCCTCGAGGCGTCGGCTTGCTGTCGCGCGCGCTCCTTGGACGATGCGTCGGCAAGAAGATTGACGCGCGCCTCGGGCGGCAGCCAGCGGACTTGAGAAGGTCCGCCTCCTTCTGGAGCTGGACGGCGCGCTCGGTGTTGGCCGCTCGAGTGGCGGTGGCTTCTTCCTCGAGCCGCAGGGCGGCCGCGGTGGCATCGTCACAGGCAGAAGGCGCGTTATGCAGCAGAGTGATGGTCTGGCAATGAGGCGCCAGGTCTTTGGAGGCGCCAGTGAGAGGAGAGGGAGGCGGCGGCGGGCGGTCAAGCGCCATAAGGCGCGAGCGGAAGCGAGGAGAGGGAAGGAAGGGCGGAGGCAAACAGCGTGAAGCGAGAGGAGACGAAGGAAGCGAAGCAGAGGAGAGGTGGGAGAGAGAGAAAGGTCGACACAGACCCGAATTAGGCGTCTCGATACCATGAAGGCAGAATGCCAACCAACTTAGATTATGTTTACACAGGGATTACAAATATATAGAGCCTTAGCCTGGGAAGGCCAGGGGCTAAGCCCACATAGGGAAGCGCATAGCAGAGTAAATAGGAGTAACTAACACAATAACCAAGGAGACACTATGGTAGTCTAACACATGTCGTGGCGAGTCTGTCCTTCATACACCAGAGTCAAATTTTCATCTTAATAATGTCTTAGTTGTCCCATCCCTAGTCTGCAATCTGTTATCTATCCGTCAATTTACTAGGGACAACAACTGCTCTATAGAATTTGACGCTCTTGGTTTTTCTGTCAAGGATATCCCGACCCGACGCGTGATACTTCGCTGCAATAGTGTTGGTGACCTTTACACCTTCCCTGCTGCATCTTCCGCTCCACACGCCAACATTGCCATCTCCACCGACCTCTGGCATCACCGTCTTGGTCATCCTAGCTCCGATACCATGTAGAGGCACACCTCACACCGAATATGGGGGGGGGGTTGACCTTCATATATATAGCCAATATGGCTGGGTATACAAGGAATACAATCAAGTATACATAGCAGGTGCTAGTTATAGCTAATCACACATAGACCTGCCTAATACTTTGACAGTTCTGTGCTTGTTGAATATTTGGAATTGTGGGACTTAGTTACCGAGGTGGAGCTACAACCTGATGTGTCAGATATTCGTAGGTGGCGCTTTACTGAATCTGGTCAGTACTCATCTAAATCTGCGTACAGATCACTGTTTATTGGATCAGTTACATTTGAACCTTGGGAGTTACTCCATAAGTTAGAAGACCTAGGCACCAAAGAAATGCTTTTTTTTCCTTTGATTGGTTGCTCATAACAGATGTTGGACGGCAGATAGATTGGTCCTAAGGACTACCTCATCCAGTGAAATGTCCCTTGTGTGAACAGGAGGATGAGACCATTGATCATATATTGGCTAGTTGTGTGTTCTCTAGAACAGTTTGGTCACTACTCTTTTGCCGCTACAGATTACTAGACGTCTCACCATCCCCTGATGACAAGGGATTCTTTGATTGGTGGATGAGAGTTATCGCTTTGTTCCCTGAGCTGTGAAGCAATGTTTGAATTTGCTGATTACTTTGGGGGCCTGGATGTTGTGGAAACATTGTAACAACTGTGTTTTCAATGGAGCCAATCCTAACACTCAGCTTGTGATTAGAACTTTTCTTGAGGAGGCTTATCTTTGGTGCTTTGCTGGCACTAAGGGATTAGCACATTTAGAAGTGGTCGCCAGGTAGATGGCTTGACTTTGTTCAGGTCTGGTCGTGTGTTTTCTGTAATGGGCGCGAATATAACCAAGCTATATTTGTGGATGTGGGTGTGGGTGTGGTGTTGTTGTTTGTGTTTTTTTGTACTATCCTTTCTTCTTAATGCAATGATACACATCTCCACTACGTATTGGAGAAAAAAAAACAATCTCTTGCATAAATAGACACTACAGGATTGAGCACTTAGAGAGCATGCACAAGAAAGTGAAATCAAATGGATAGTAAAAGATCCTCATAAAAAGCAAATACTAACATGGTCATTTACTTTTTATAACGGCTCCATCAACAATTCATGCATTTAACTAGTACCTGCAGTTTGTCAGTAGTCCCCTCGGAGTACATAAAGGAAACCCTCCAGTCATATGCATGTAGGACCTTTGGCTCATCTTCAACACTAAGTTTTAAGTACAAATCTTGTCCGATCCTGTTTGTGAATGTTATATACGGGCGTACATGGATAACCTGTTGTGTCATCACATGAAGTCAACTGATTGAAACTTTTATATGAAATTGTAGATTAACATGCAGCTACCTTTGTTGGAACAGCTTGATACGAGGATGGCTTTGAACAAAGAAGAATACGCATGCATTTTCCATCATCATCATAGGCAGAAAGATCAACTGCTCCATCCTGAGTATAGAAACAAAACTATTTAGTTGTAGTGGTTCAAAACAAGAAAAAGAATAAATGCAGCAGATCCAAACTAACCATATCACCAAGAGGCGACAATTCTTTCACAGATCCAAACCGTCCTCCATGTCCACTGACAGACGATAGAAGTCCTAATCCCTTAAAATTTAATCCAGACGCTATAGTGTATCCCTCAACCAATTCATCATGTTTTATATCATAGAGGTGCTTCTCACCCCTTTCCAAATGTGAACGTGCAAGAAGCCGCCTCTTCTCTTTCCTTCCAGAAATATCAATGAGACGCAGAGTAAGTGGAGGCAATCTAGCAAAAGATATCCAATAGGGAACATATATTCTGATAAGCCTTGCCATCAAATAGTCATTATCACTGCTTTGTTCAAGCAGAATCTGTACAACCCTACAGAAGAATGAAAGACCAAACAGGATAAAAGAAGCTTGATTAGTGAAAGGTTATGGCATTTTATCCACCAGAAATTTTTTCATGTTTGCATTGTTACCTTCCGGATAAAGAGCTTCTTAGATTGATAAATTTGGAAGGTGCTTGGGTTGGATGTGATATAAGAACAGGCTCCTAGAACCAGAAAATAACTTCAATAGTATGTAGAAAAAAAATAGAAAAGCAAGACATCTATAAAAGAAAGTAATTTTATCCGTACATGCATTAGTTCCCATCCGCCATGTGGAACAAGGGATAAGTACAATGGGTTTCTTGGATCAACATTGTGGACCTTTACAGCCTCACCAGGACTTAAGGTACCAAGGGAGCAACTTGAATCTTCATCGTCGAGGTGGCTAGAACTGACAGTATAATGTGCAGAAATGGGAAGATAGTATGTCAAACACAACGGGGACTTGATAATGATGCACCAATCATATATTGGATCCATCTGAACATCTTTGCCTATTTCCTTGGCTTCAATACTCAAGCAAAACCATAGTCCATGACAAGAATTGGAGGTGCCATCTACCTGTGAGCAGAATAGCAAGTTTTCAGATTCATACAGATCTGATACACATATATCTAGGATCTCCTCCTTTCTAAACTCAGTTTGACTGCGCCTCTCCTGGACATCACTCCAAGAGTAATTTTCATGATCATGATGATTTGCTGGCCTTAGCTGCAACATATAGGACACAAGAGGATGTGAGAGGCCTGATAGTGGAACGGGAACAGTAGAATTGGGCTCCAGCATTCCAATCAGGATTTGATCCTCTTTATCAAAACCGTCTCCCTGTTCATCTGATCGTGCATTTTGAGAAATTCTTCCTTTTAGACGCAAATCAACAATGAAATTGGTTGTATTGGTAACTGACACAAGGGAACGTATGCTAACATATCTGTTGCCTTCCTTGACTGTTGCTTCACTAGCAATCACACAATTGCCAAACCTCCAACATGCTGCAGGTACAGCATAGTTTAACTTCATGCTTGTCCAAGGCCCTTCTTTTGAAGGACTAATTTGAATATATCCAATCTTGCTTCTTTCAGGACTGGCTCTGTTCCCTTGTTGTACACTAGCTCTACCAGAAACAAGTACTGCAAATCTTATTTTTCCACTAGGTTTAACAGTTTCGTGTTCCTGCAAACAATTGTCAATAAACGGTATAAAATATTACTAAGTATAAATTTCGCATAAGCACACTGTGTGGACTCTATTCTGCAAAAGTGACTCAATATATGGTTCTCCAAATGTCAAGAGTTCTCACCACTGTCTTAGTTGACATAAGGTCTCCTAAAGTCAAATCAAATTTGACACAGTCCGAATTAGAGGTAGGAGGGAGCTTTTGCACAACTTGCTCCAATGGAGCAGAGTATATACCAACTGGTTGACCTGTTCTCAACATATAAACTATAAACGAGTGTCGGAAAACAAACAAAATAATGGCATTTGTTTTGCACTGAAATCACGAACCTTTACCAGCATCAAGCACAAGAAGCTCCAGAGTATAACTGTCCTGAAACATTTGCAGTGAAAATGAAATATTAGTTAAATGAAAACATGGCTCTCGGAAAAGTCACCACTAATAACAGTAGAGAACAATTGCCATGGAATATGTAGACCAAGAGGAGTAAAGGTGTTCCAGAATGTGTTGTGTTTACATACCACGCATTCGACTTTGAAAAAGAACATTTCATTCCAGTTCACCTTTCTGGTGTTCTGTGACGAGTGTTCTCCAGTAGCAGCACAAGTACGGGCACTCTGTTGCTGAACAACAGATATGGAATGGTTTTCTGAAAAGAGCCGCACAGCAGTCATATATTCACCAGTATCTAATCCTTCATCATCCTTGACCTGGGATGGAAAATCTAAGTTTAGAATGACCAGAAAAGTCCTTCGCAACAATTTATTTAGCAGGCAAGCTAACCACAATACAAGGTTCAGAATTCGATGTAAAACATTTTCTCAAACACTTGGGAGAGTCGGGTATCACTATATTAAGAGAAGGAAAATGGATAGGAACCCTTACAAAAGCCACAAACACCCACACCATTCAGATAATAAAGGAGATGTGCGCGCCTTTTTTTTTTCTCGAACATGCAGGAGAGCTGCGTATCATTTCATTGAAAGGAGAAGAAACACACACGCACACACACACCTCCTAAAAAACTTGAGAAACTGGTCACCTGAAACTTTAAAGAAACGACCGGACCAAAACAAACAGCCCCTAAGAGACCACCCTAGCAGTGAGCAGGGAGAGGCCCTTCGCTCTTGCCAAACACCATAACTCGGCTTCCTCCTTTGCAAGGAGCAGCGCTGTGTCCAGTCTGGGGGTGGCCCCATTGAAAACACAATCATTTCAAAAACAATCACGAGCCTAAACTTCCAGCAGAGATTTTTTTCCCACCAATCTTCAAATGATGTTTCCCCAGGCTGAGGACTAAGGTGCTGCAGTCCAACTCTTCTCAGGAGATTGAACCAGAAATCCCAAGTGAAGAGACAAGATATTCTAATTCGATGTAAAACACAGGCATGAACATTTCAATATTGCGTTCAGATGCTAATCCCTCCCTATTATGGTAGAGTGTAAATATTCTAATTCCCATTTGTGTTCCGGAAAGATAGGATAGGACACTGTAACAATAGGTAGCCAATAGCCAAGCTGCTGACTTCCTATTGAGGTAATTTTGGAGTTTTTAGGTCAGGTTGCAGTCAATAATCAGCCGGTTATCTGTCACCACCACTTAGCATTTTCTGGTGCTGGTTTTAAATGAAAGGTTAATTGAGGATGTGTTAAAAGGGCGTACCCAGTGCAGAGAGCTCCCGCTCTGTGTGGGGTCTGGGGAAGGGTGTCAGTGGCAAGCCTTACCCTCGCCTGTGCAATGTGAGAAGACCGCGACTCGAACCCGGGACCTTCCGGTCACAGGCGGTAAGACTCTACCGCTTGCACCAGGCCCGCCCTTCTAATTGAGGATGTGTTCACACAAATGAAAAAGTCAAGATGTGATCAAAGAGTTGACCGCCACTTCATCACTGGGAAAGCACATGCAGGTAGAAGAGTACACAGTTTAGTGCAAAATAAAAGAGCTACCTCTGCATCCGCAAGAATGGCGGTTATCATCAACCGATATGATTTAACAGATCTTCCATTTAAATGAGAATCCAATAGATCCCTTAAAGCCGGAACTTTTATGGACCTATCATCCCCAGAGGGCAACAGAGTAACAAGTGAACTTCTATTTTCAGTAGTTCTTATGTAAATATCTTGTCCAAGTTTATTTTGTGGGACCACATAATAACTTCTTCTTTGATGAACATCAAGAACTGGTCGCTCAGTAGAACAAAAGGTGTCCTGATAATAGTACAAAAGAGAAGACAAATGATGGCATAAGCATCAACAGAATACTTCAAAGTAAATAAGTGGTAACTTTCCATATTTTTATAAGGAGTAAACAGATTGTCAAATAACAAAATTATTAAACAATAATCTCAAAGGAGAAATGATATACCTTCCTGTACAATTCATCACCACAGCTAATATTGTTCCAGCTAGCATAAGCTTGTGATAACATGTTTGTATTGGAAACAGATATGTTCAAATTCAGATCTCGAGTTGAGGTAATACGGAGTTGTCCAGGAGAACCTGGTGTACTCATGTCATATTGGTACCTAATATCCATAACAAAATGAGTACCAAATCATGTAATAAAAATTTACAAAAAGCTGTTATTCTGTAATTAATATGGTGTTGCATATGGTTAATAGGCAAGTGAATGAAGTGAAGCCTTGTGAATTATCAAACTCAATTAATTATTAACAATGCCTTTTAACAGCAAATAATGAAAGTATACACGTACAATTTACCTATGGTTTGAAGCCAAGACAAGAACTGTAAACCATGGATATTGTATATTGGGAAGGACATCGACAAGAATGGTTTGTTTCTCGTGAGATTTTCAGTTTATGAACATTGTCCTTTTTTGTGTGCAGTCATAGGCCTCTTTTTCCTCTCAGGTCATATTTATCCTTGTATCGTTGGCCTTGTAGACCTTTGTTGGTGGAGCATGACACAAACTAAAGGGGAGCCAAATTACTGATTTTTGTCTACAGTAGTTATAATTACTACAGGACTCGGTCTCTTTATGCTCAATCTGAAGACATCTGTGATTTGAGGGCTACACACAGCCACCTCGCCACTTACCTACCCAGCGCAGCCTACGCCTTGCCGCCACTAAAGTACACCACCGGGAAGCCCGGCTGGATGCAAGGATGGTGGCGGCCGGGCAATCCTCCTCCCTCACCCTCGCCTTTTTTCTACTCATCCCCGTCCTCACTTCCTACTCCGGTGACAGATCGGTATGGTATTCGGCCGAATCTGTGGGAGCGCCTTGCACACTATGGTGGGATTCGTCCTGTAGCGGTCTTGACAGACGGCTTGGTGGTGGTGCTTCCCTCCACCTCCATGCAGTGTGTCGGTAGTGGTGGCGACGACGCGGCTGGCTTCCCCCCTACATGGGTGGTCACCAGCACCATCTCCCACGTGCTCGTTCCCGACAGGGCCTGTCCCTGTACTGTAGCTATCCTTGTCGCGGCAGGCGCAATCCGGTGACCTTGGTTGAGCAGGACATGGCTAGTAACAGGCGCTCAGGGCCTCGGTGGATGGCAATGGTGTGGTATGGTATGGTACGGGACGCCCTTCAACACTTTCGAGCTTCAGGTGCTATGTCCCCAGTGTTTCGCGATGGCGTGGTATGCGATACGCTTCGTTGACTCTGGTCTTTGTTGTGGTGGGTTGGTGTGCATTGGCGAAAGACATGCTGATCTCTGTGCCAGCCTCGACCGCGAAAACGCCTTGGGTGTTGTTATCCTCTTTGGAGGCGACATCATCGCTGGGTCTCTTGGTGAAAACTTTGCCTGCTCTAGGCAAGTGGCGGTGGCGACTATAACTGTGTGCCTGTGCCCTTGTTGGAGGCGTCGTTTTGGAGGACTTGTTTGGTGGTGTTATTTGTGAATGTACTATGGTTTCCCAATTCAAAGTCTTCAACAAGAATTGGTACACAACATATCCCCACTGCCTATTTAGGTGGAAGTGATGCTTATATCACTGGTCTTGGTATGGTGGTCGGAGTTTCAAGCAGCAAATGGAGTAATTTCTCTTCCCCCATGTTGGATTTGGCTCATGTAGACATTAGGGAACAAGCAGCGAAAGGAGGATTACTATTTTCTCAAATGACGCAGGAGATCTGAGTGTCATTTCATTAAGATAGAGAAATACAAGACGAGCTGGATATAGAAAGAAACCCAGCAAGCTGAAAAACCAACACCACATACCCACCCAAACCGAAAAGGAAAGGGTGGGGGTGGTTCTATATAGGACCAGGACCTGAACAAACAAGCTGCCCTAGAAATTAGACAATCTAGACCAACGACCTTGCGAGTAATTCACTGAGCTTTGATGCTCCAGCCATGCACCATAAACTGCACTCATCTGTCATCTCCTATGGTCTGAAGGAGTGCATGGATACTAGGCAAAGTTCCTTCAAACACACAAGAATTCCGGTGGAAAGGAGGATTACTCAAGCTGCAATTTGAAGATTTTGAATTTATTCCTTTGTAGTTTGTTGTTTTTCTTTGGTACATCAGAGGACATTACTGAACAACCACGAAAGGAAGATCACTTAAGCTGCAATCTGAAGATTTCGAATTTATTCCTTTTTTGTAGCTTGTTATTTTTCTTGGCCACATGTTTCATTGTTGGGACATGTAATATCTCTTTGTAATAACTGTGGACTGATGCATTTCCATTAGAAGATGTCTGAAGCCGGAAACCCTCCATTATCTAAAAAAACAATCAACCCCAAGGTCCTCTACAAAAAAATTAGTAGATGATCTCAGTTGACTAACATGTTATTCAGATTCTCACTCGCATGCCTAAATATCTAGTTCTTCAGAATTATTGCAAGTTTCCATTCAAGAAAAACAACAATGGAACATGCAACGCGTGAGTTGATGTACGAAAAAATCTGTTGGGAAACGCCATGTCTTGCATGACGAAGGGAGCAGCTGGTGGTTTCAGATGCTAGCAAGGAGGCGCCAGCCGCCAGGCAAAGGAAAATCCCCTTACATGCACTCATTCCTTCATTTGAGGTTGAGGAAGAAGGGGAAAACAGGCTTACAGGCATAGAGGATACAATCATCAGTAGTACGCAGCAAGTGAAATGTTGTAATGTTGGTTCATGGCTTTCTGCTAGTACTAAAAAGCTTCATGTTCTAGTGCTGCCTGCTTCTACTGATGGATTTGGATTGTGATGAGGTACAGATACTAAAGATTGTACACATTTATCTCTATAATATATTGATACAGTTATTCAGTAGGGTCCACCCCAACTGTTCTTTGGAGAAGAGATTTAGTGCCTAGAGGAGTTACCTAAGAAATGCATCCGTTGGTTCGATGAAGGGCTCCCACGAGCTATACTTGTCATTATAGGATCTGGCCACAAATGACAAGCTCACAGTTGCATTAAGATGATGAGGACCACCATGATAACTTAGTCCAACACTGTCAAAGGACATCCCAAATAATGGCACCATCTGCACAGAATAGTTCAAAAATCAATCAACACATATCAGCAAGCATCAGAGGAGCTACATCACTTGAAATAAAGACACAAGCCAAGTATCGTTTGGGATATTAAAAGTTAATAATAATTGCTAGATAAAGATCCATGTACTGGATATGGCTCACCATTCCACCATAATCATCAAAGGAAACAGCAGAAAATGTTTTAATTTCGGCATCAACAATGATGCTATCTGAACTGCTTGATGTAGGTGGACCAGCAAGCTTCAGTGCAAGCCTCTTTGGAGGTTTTCTATATCCACTTCTCACAAGAAACGTACCAGCATCATTATCAACAGTCCACAAGCTAAAAGGTTCAGATGTTCTAGCATTAAATGAATCCCATACACTTTCCTCAGAAAATTGACCTCCAGCCACCATGTCACTTCTAATACATCTTAACAAACTGAAGTCCTCTTTCGTTGGAGAACTTTTAGATGCAACACATCCTAATGCCACAAAACCTGAAGGAGCTTTAGGAAACCAAAATGATACACCCTCAGTGCCTCGGTGCTTCTTAATTTGACCAACAAGGTCAAAACCTTCAGGAGCTCTGAGAAAAGTGTCTTCACCAGTATCACGAAGGACAACAGTTGAATTTGGTGGTTCATACCTACAATTGAAAGTTAAATATGAAGTTGTCAATTGCAAACAAAGCTTGGTCTTTAAATGACAAACAGTAATCACATAAATGATACCCGTTAACAGCTATGTCGCCACCGTAAAACATTCCTTCAGACAACATTGGACGCCATATTGAGAGCTTTTTTGTTGAAGAGGTCGCACTATTTGACCAAATTAGTTTAAAGCTTGCCACCGCGTCAAATAGCCGACCTGACGTCAATTCTGATCTCTCTAGTTGAGAGGAATCATTTCTACTACGTTGCCTTCTAGAGACAGTCTTAGAAGATGAGTCTGCACTGTCAAGCAGCATATGTCGAAGATCATAAGCATTGCCATGCACAATCATGCTTGCAGGATCTCCAGGTAAAAAGGAACCAAAAGCATTATCAATTCGCCAGAATATCATGTTACCATTATCCCTGAAGAATGCAGTTAGAGTACATAATGCATGAGTGTGAAATATCTATAGCCATACAACAAATACAGAAACAAGTTCAGGTAATATATATTTGACCTTAGTGCAATGCAATCCCTTAGATTACATGATGAAACCAAGGAAGCAGTTAAACAGAAAACTGAAGACAAAGGTGGTTCAGCAGTCCCAGATGAAACAACACAACCCATTGCAACGTAACCCACAGGTGCCACAGGTAACCAAACAGAGCAGAGCTGGTCAACATTAGAGATCTTATTCTCCGAGTCCTCATTCTGATGAAAAACTTTTGTTCTTGGAGAACCAGATTGCCACACTAGCTTGTATGATAAAGGCCTTTTGACCCTAACAATGTTTGTGTTCAGAGCAAGGACTCCTTTAGTAGGAGGGTCATTCCTAAGATGAAAAAAGAGAGATTAAATGCTAATAAAATCCTTCCACCAACATATCAAAATAAGAAGAAATGAGAGCATGAAGTAGTAGTCACAAACATTGGTGTGAGATAATCGCCAAAAATGGCATATCCAGATGGGGCACGTGGTCGCCAGAAAGATAACACTTGATCATTCACATTACCTAAAACAAGTCAACAAAACAATTAATGCAGCTTACAAAATAGGACTCTCAGTATACACCAACATAACTACTTCCTCCGATCAGAATTATAAGCCCATTAGGACATCGACACGGTCTACAAGGTCACACTTCGACTAACAATATTAATAAAAAGATATTAGCAATTTAGATTATATAGAGAGAGCTATTTTTCACAATGAATCTAGTCATACCAATCTTAATGTTTTCAATCCATATAAAATTTTAGATATTTATAGTCAAATGTAAAAAGATTTGACTTAGGAAAACCTAGATGGGCATATATTTCTGACTGGGGAAGTATAAGTCATCCCATACCTTGCATAGTTGCAACTTTGTCAAACTGGTAGCACAACAGTGAAATTTTCTTTGACGACATCCTGAGAAATGCTGAAATTTCTTCCTCAACTGCTAAAAACAGTCTGAGAATACTAAAGGAAAAATTCATATATATTTCAGAAACCAGCAGATGCAAATTTGTCTTTCCAGACGCATTTGAATATTTCACGGCCATGTCAAATGGTTCTATAACTCTGATGCCATTACTCTCCATCTTTAAATCAAGTATGTTTCCATTCATCTCCATACTGTCACCTTTCATTATAAGCCTGCCACACAAAAAGGGATCAATCCCCAACATACAGAGAACACAAAGACAATTGTTTAATGTGCGAGGAACATGTTGGCAATCTTTTTCTCCCTCTAAAAGAAATGGTGTGCTTCAATAAGTTCCTTGGATCAGGTGATTGTGTGAATTCCTTGTTGGATGGTGTTATGGCAAATTGGACAGTTCTGGCCCTGGATGTGCTGCATCAGCATACTACAATTAGTTCACAGTTTGTTTGTTTGTTCAGGTTTGTTAGCAGATAAGACTCATTAGTTACTTGGATAAGATTTGATAGGAGGTTTGTTGGGTGCCTGGTCTATAAAACCATCCATAGATAGCCAGGGAAGGCAAGCAGAAATAGAACTAACAAGCAATTCAGAGCCTCCGGAAGGAGGGCGAGTTAGCCGATCTATCTGCTGTTCTTGTATACAGTGCCCAATCAACTTACCACATCATCTTAGTGTTGGTTCTGGCCCTGGACGTGCTGCATCAGCAGCCTAGGATTAGTTCACAGTTTGTTCAGGTTTGTTAGCAGATAAGATTCAATAGTTACTTGGATTGCCTGGTCTATAAAGACATTCTAGGTAGCTAGGGAAGGCAAGCAGAAATAGATCTAAGAAGCAGCTCAAAGCCTCCAGAGGGAGAGCGAGTTAGCCGATCTATCTGCTGTTCTTGTATCCAGTGCCCAATCAATTTACCACATCAGATGGGAAAATGAAGTAAATATAAAAGGAAAATGAAGCGACATGACAGCAATAAGCAATCTGACTTTGAACAGCATAATTCATCCCATCTTGTAGATGGTATATCAATACGTACTAACAGCAGTAGTATCACATCTGCAAATTTCATAGTCATGCAATAGCTTTGACAAATTTAAAATCTTTGTTTAGCATATTAATTATGTACCTGTGCAGTCATAAATGTAAACTAAAGAGAAACAAATGTCAAAAAAAAAAAAACAAGCATAAATTTGTTCCCCATTGTAGCTTTCTATCATCAGCTCCAGACATCCAGGAAAAGAATTAATGGCAACTTTATAATAACAGTTTTCTTTTTAAAAAAACATCTAATTAACCCATAACGTACAATAAGGGAAGAAAAAGAGAGTGATGCATCATGCACTTTCAATATCTGCTACATGTACTAATATCAGTAATTCATCAATCGATAAAACTAAATTCAGCCAAAGGCCAGTAGAATACCAAACCTGCAAAATGCATCAGTGCGGGCATGAATAACCTTAGTTGATAGTGCTAAGTTTTCACCAGCATTCCTTGATGTACTATAGAAAGTAAGCTCTGGTCCAATAGCCTGAAACAATCATACAATGCAGTTCAACCATAGAATTACGAAATGGCAATCATGCGTGCAGCAGTTTCAAAAGTTACATGATCGGAGTGACTTCACAGTTTGTAAGTTGTAACCTGCTGGACAAAACTAGCACTAGTTACCAGTGAACCCAGCTGGTGAAGTTTTGGAAAACCTTGCAGACATAGGAATGCTACTGTTAAGCTGTCTACACCGGCCCAATTGAACCAAACGCTTAAGTTTATGAGGAAACTTAGGCACTTGGGCAACAGACTCTTAAACACCCCCTTCCATGTCTCAGCTCCCATACACCTAAGATGTGCTATAGAGTGGGCTGCAATCTTTACTATCTATTAGACGAAGTGGGCGCCTGTCCAGAGGGCGCCATGGGCGCCTGTACAGGTCGAGCTGGAGAGGAGCCCGGTGGCCGGGGCATGAAGCCCGGCGGGGGCTGCCGGAGGGCTGGTGCGCCCAAGGTGGGCACCAGCTGGGAGAGCACACGGGTGGGCAGAGGGCCAGCAGCCCACGGTGTACCTGCAGGTGGAAGTAGAACTGACGACGAATCGTCGTTAGTTAGAAAATCAAGCTCGTGTGTGGGTGGCGAAGGTCGACGGAGGGAAAAAGGGAACGTTGTCTCGTCGAAGACAACGTGGCGTGAGATGATGACGCGGTTTGTGGCGAGGTCAAGGCACCTATACCCCTTGTGGTCAGGAGAATAGCCAAGAAAGACGCACAAGGAAGATCGTGGAGCGAGCTTGTGAGGAGTGGTGGCGGTGAGGTTGGGGTAGCAGGTGCATCCGAAAGCTCGAAGATCGTGGTAGGAGGGGAGAGTGCCATGGAGGGCAAAGAAGGGAGTGCTCATGTTCAGGGTCTTGGTTGGGAGGCGATTGATGAGGAGAGTGGCGGTGGCGAGGGCATCAGCCCAGTAAGAGGGGGGCATGGATGCTTGGAAGAGCAAGGTGCGGGTGACATTGTTGACGGTGCGAAGCATGCGCTCGGCTTTGCCATTTTGCTGCGAGGTGTAGGGGCATGACATGCGAAGGGTGACACCTTTGGCAGAAAAGAAAGCGCGCGACGCGGAGTTGTCAAACTCACGTCTATTGTCACACTACACGGTCTTGATGGTGCAACCAAACTGAGTGAGCGCATAGGCGAAAAAATTAGAGAGAGCATTAAAGGTGTCAGACTTTAGTTTAAGAGGGAAAGTCCAAACAAAATGCGAGCAATCATCAATAATGACTAGATAATATTTGAAACCGGATACACTGATGATTGGGGAAGTCCACAAATCACAATGTATCAAGTCGAAATTTTTAGTTGCACGAGACAAGGAATTGTTAAAAGGCAAGCGGACATGACGCCCAAGCTGGCAAGCATGGCAGAGAGTGTCATCGTCGGGCTTGCTGCAGATGATGGAGGATGACTTGGAAAGAGTCTGAAGAGTAGCCTTCCCGGGATGACCGAGCCGATAATGCCAAGTAGTGGAGGAGGGAGTGGCCACGAGAACGCAAGGACCGGATGGTGATGTCGGGAGCTGCAAGGTGTAAAGGGGTCCCGAGCTGTCACAGCGAAGGAGGAGGTTCCTGGTACGAAGATCCTTCACGGAAACACCAAGAGGGTCAAACTCGACAGAAACAAGATTATCAGTGGTGAATTTTCGAATTGACAAGAGATTTCTAATAATGTCAGGGGCGATGAGAACATTGTTGAGGCGAAATGGGCCAGGGAGGGTTGAGTAGCAGTGCAACAACAACGGAAGAGTGGCGCCATTTCCCACAATAATTGAAGAAGGAAAGGAGGAGGTTGGTGACATGGTGACCATACCAGAGTGTCGGCTATGAGAGAGAAGCACCCAGTCGAAGACCCAATCCGAGGTGCTTGACGGTCGAGTGAGGGTGACGGTCTTTGAAAGCGTTGGCGAGACCCTCAGAGTCGAGAAGGTGACGGCGAGGTGGGCGCTTCTTTGGGCGCCTAGTAGTATGCCGGGGACCCGGCGGAGGAGCCAAGTAACCGGGGACACTCCGCCATGAGAGCTTCTTTGTGGTGGTGGACCCGAGAGCCGCTGGATTGGACCCAGCCACATCTGGATGGACCGGTCCATGGGTTGAAGAAGGATGGCCATTGTTGGCCATTTGGTGGACCGGCTTGAGTGCGGCTTGGCGCCGCCCGGCGTGGCGCTCCGCGGCGGCGACGTCGTCCGGTTATTTGCCGTTCTTGGACCTGCTGGCCCCAATGACTGAGGATGGCGTGAAGGAGGAGAAGGGGTGGTGAAGTTGTTGTCCCAAAGAAGCCGTGGAGGGCGCCGAGGAGCGAGGGAACGAGCAAAGCGGCTTCTGCCGGACGGCGCGTGATGATGAGGGCCGAGGGTGGAGCCAAGGTGACGCCATGTTGAGTTCGCCACCTCAGTCGCATTTGACGCGTCGGCGAAGGATGGGAAGGGCTTCGCCGCGTGGACGAGCTGCGACATGAACCGGAAGCGTTCGTTGAGGCCGCGCAGCACATTCAACACCGTGGTCCGGTCCCAGACGGGTTCGCAAGGTCGGCGAAGCGTGGCCCGCCATGTGCTTCATCTTGCGGCGATGATTCATCCACGGATAGAGCACCCGGCAGAGAGTGCGGAACTCGGCGCCGAGGAGCATGGCGCGTGATTCATGGTTGTTGAAGAATTCTTTGCGCCGAGGCCGAGCCATGCCGCCAAGAAAGCGGATGATGCCGTCACGCTTCGTGGACGACGCCGAGAAGGTCGAGGCGATGGTGTTGAAGATCCATGAGACGACAACACAGTCCATGCGGGACCATGCCGCATCGTGGAGGTGGATGGCGTCGCTGAGGACGTGGTCCTTCAGGGCAAACCGGCCGAGGATGAGCAGGATGAAACCGCGCCATTTGGAGTAGTTTGAGGCTTGCAGATCAAGAACAATAGGAATGAGGTTCTTGATGTTCTGCACAGCGGCCGCCTGGCTATGAAGATGGGCGACAGCCGCAGTTTCCGTGGCGATGGAGTCGGCGCCGCCCCGAGTCGTCGTCGCCGCGGTGATGCTCGGGGTGTGCTGCAGCCATGAGGTCCGCGGCTCGCTTGTTCAAGCAGATCAGCCCACCTGCCGCGCCCAAGTCGAGAGCGGCGGCGGCGTATGGACCCGCTCGGGGGCGCGGCGGCGGACTTGAGGAGGTCCGCCTCCTCACGGAGTTGGCGCTGCGCTACCTGGTTGGAGTCGCGCAGGAGGCGGCCTCAACTTCGAGCCTTGGCGGCGGCGGCGCCTCGTCATGAGCTTGGTCATGGCGGCGGCGGCAATGAGGCGCTGGAGAATCGCCACGGAGGAAAGAGCAACCATGGGTACAGGAACCGGCGAAATGCTGGCGGGCGGAGGAGGCGGCAGGCGGCAGTGGCGCAGCGAACCAGATGGCCGGAGAGAGGCTCGCTGTGGTGGTATGTGGGCAAGGCAGAAAAAAAAGCGGAAGCAGGGGATACGATTAGACTGATACCATATTAGACAAAGGCCATTAGGCTTTGTATATTCCTTGATAATAGATTACAGATGGGATTACACTTATATAGGAGAGAGAGGGGATGGCCCAAGGGGCCAGTAGTGTGAAAGGGCCAGTATAGCTGGCGCCTGCACAGTTAGCTAGGAGATTACAGTAAATGAGCAAATAATTCTAACACTATCTATATTGCAACAGGGCACCAGGCTACTTGAATTCACTACGTGAGTCAACCAATTCATGCAAAATCTTAAGCTTATAATGAAAGGTGGGAAATAAGCTGATATTTCAACAATTATATTCAAAATGAAAAGGAAAAGTTGGAGAGATTCCTGAACTGTCATGAATCTCCAGGGTTACTAGCTTTCATGAGCTTGTTTGAATAAGTCTCATTGGTAGCTTACACAGATATGGTATCATGATGCAGTAGAAGATGAAAACTATGTGCTTAACACAGTTATGAATTAAATATGTCTCAACAATAGCTAGAAGTTTAAAGCAATACCTGTAGTTCCATAATGAATTCGGTCGATATATCAGCACTTCCATTTTTAACAGTGTCTCCTGCAATTTCCTTGCTGGGAGTCGACAAGGGCCCATCATCTTCTCTTGCTAAGTAGACATGGTCATTCTCTGATGCTGAATAACAGCTATCATCACCAAGAGAGATACAAGAGTCCAAATATTCACCATTCTGCGGCAAGGTATCCCATTGTCAAAAGACCAAAAACCCATATAAGTGCGGTTAGTAAAAAGTGAGAATAATGAAAACTGAAACACTGAATATTACCACTATAGTGACATTCCGGAATTGCAACCTCTTACACCCCAGCACATGAATGAAACTCTCAGTACAAGGGCTTGAGATAATTTTCCCCTCTCTATCCAGCAAATATAACTTTCCACCCTTCCCATCATATATGAAGTGATCAAATCTTTCATTATCAACAATCAAGGGCTTCTGAGGTGAAAGACTAGATGTTGAATGCTCCTGATAATAAATCTGATCATTCAATACTACTGGAGTGATCATATGTAGAAGGTCCTTGTCTTCATCATTGGATAAAAGACTCCGAGCAGATGGCACAAAGAATTCGATTACTGCTAGTAAGAAGTCAAGTGCCACAAGAAACTTGGGCCGCTGAACACATACAGAGACAGACGACGAAGATTTTCGGATGATGGCATCAAGAATAAGCATCGAGGGGATTGGCTCAAGGCCTAGATCTTTTTGTATTCTCCGTTCACCTAAATCAAGTTCGTTAGGATTATCATAGCCATCAACAGATGATGTGTCCTGAACAGATGCTGATTTCCCAATGGCAAGCCTTAACTCATCTTTTGTTCCTTCACGATCATCAAAAACAGAAAATCCTTTGAGAGTAGCATACAAAAAATTATCTTCCCGTGTGTTTGATTTATAAAGAAGCCATGCACTACTCGCCTGCATACAGAAGATTATACAGTCATGTGAAACTATCTCCAACAAAGAGCTATATCCTCATATGAAAGAAATCCCGAAAGGAAAAAAAATATATGTACTTTGAATCTGACCTACACTCAGCAAATAGGACCACAAAGAATACTTAAACAAACATGAAAACAGCATAAAAATGTTACCTGATTCTCAAGCAGTACCAATTCACATCATATTATATTCTGTCCCAAGTTAAGAAGAATGTACTTGAGTACTTCAATCCCTCTAGGTTGCCCTTTAAATTGCATTCACTATTACGTAGATGAGATGCGGCAGCTACAGATAATTGACCCATACTTCCTTCAAGCCCGCAAACCCGCTTGAATCATTCCAACTAAACTAAACGTAATTCAAATTTTCATCCATTGGACTAAGAGTCCACCTAATTCCCTTCTTGGAAGACTGCCTGGGATCCATTTTTCAAGTTTTTCTGCAGTCTAGTGGTGAGAAACGGGTCCTAAAATGAAACACACCTCATTTTGGGGACTTCGGACAAATGAACTAAAAGCTACTTACTTTTTTGGTGTACAAGATTATAGTTTAAATTTTACGTTTTTCTTCCAAACCCATCACAAGGTAACTGTAGTCTGTGTGTAAAAATACACTTCCTGATACCAGTGAGCTGGACAACATTATGCCCACCACAGTTTGCATATTCTACAAAAAAAAGGTGGTATGTGTGAAGTCCTGGCCCAATTCAAATGAGGCCCATGGTGGCCCATGTGTATTTGCATGTGAGGTTGCATGAGTTTAGTCCAACCTTGCTAGTTGAGGATGCATTTCTTGGACTCCATGGGACTGCTTGGTTCTTTTGGTAGGCACTCTTACGCATTGCCAAGCGAGGATGACGAGCCAAGACGCATGTTCAATTTCCTCACCTGAGCACCTCGGGTCTATGCACCTCAGGCGAGCTCCTCGTGGCTCATGCCGATGAAGCAAGGCGAGGCAAAGCCACTGCCGGAACCAAGCAGCCCCCATGTGACCAACCCCGCGAAGCGAGCACGAAAGGTAAGTGAGTTCGTGAGAGTGTCATGCATGCAGCGTGTGAGTGGATCTAAGCAGTTTGGACTCTAGGTTGTTACAATATGGTACTGTACAAAGTTGTGTTCAGACAAGCTCGCAACATGATCATAATTACGATTATGCAAAAAGCCCATGCAAGGGGAAGGAAAACCTCTGAAAAATAAACAGAGCAGTCAATGGAGTTTGAAAGCATTTTTCTGCACAAAAATTGAGTACCTGAACGCTCGCCAGAGGAGAATCTCTTGTCGATCCTGAATGCAGAGAAAGCTCGACCAGATTTATTGAGACAGAAAATTTATTAGTTATCCATGTTTCTGCATCTTTGGACAAGTCATGAATACTTTCTGAAGAAGATGCTGATACATGGGATGGAGTAGTGGAAGTGCCATATCGAGGATCATCCAGAGTAGGCACGGGATGCGGTGTCTCAGAGAAGTTAGACAGCGCACACTCAGATATAATTTCATATTCTCGATTGGATAGTGCTGCTTTCAAAACATCCACCTATGAGATATTGTAAATAAAAGAAATGAGTATCTCAATGGTGCTATAAGAAAAGTAAATAATCTAACCAGGGACCTTCAATCAAAGATGCATTCACAGAAAAATGTGCTACCTTAATTGCTGCCTCCACTGCTGGCAACTGATGCCTCAGATCACGCAATGATCTACGAAGTTCAAAGGAGAGACCTTCCACATCTTGAATTATGGTTTCACCACGTACCATATTCATACCAATAACTAAATTTATGTCCCGTACCTACAAAGGGAAGTGTAATCATGCTGTAAGAATGATTCTAAGCAAGGTAACAAGGAAAGACACTAATGACGAATAAAATGTGCAAAAGCATTTGTTTCCCTACTAAATCATACAAGTTCAACATGGTACAATTTTGGCTTAGATTTCCTGTAAGCCCCAAGCATATAAGTCATGGCTACTATAAGCTGCAGTCAAAAGCCTGTCACTAATTTTGCAATATGAAGATTTGCTATCTTGTGTTCAGCAAATAAGATCATAATGGCATAGATTTGTTCAAAGCAAACTGCACTAATCTGATGAGAATTAAATGGCCAATCTCCTTTAATGTGCAAGGAATCTTTGTTTCCACAAAGCACAGCCAGGTCATCAGCTTCAGCTAGTAATCAGTAACCAACAGCAATACCACTGCTAGGCTACCAAATGGCAGCTAAATTACATGTTGGCACAATTTGGGCATTCGATGGAGCGGCCCAAGATAAAGCAATAATTTACATGGAGACAGCTCCTGCGCATTTGAACAAGATCATCTAATGATATGATGATGGAGACTATTTCCCAGTATCCAAGTTAATCCCCATTTATTCTTATAATAAATAAATATGTCTAGCAGGTTTCTCAATTAAAAAGACAACATGCTAACAAAGTGAACTTACTGTAACTGTTAAAATGTCTAAGTGAACAGCGCTCATCTCATTCTTATCACCACCTATCCACTGGAATTCATTTTGGACTGTAATGTATAGAACATCAAGCTCCAAAAAGCTGCAAAGCAAAGTGATCGTCTTCAAGACATGATTGTAAATGAACAAATCATATTCAGAGACACAAAAGCATCCTTACTCATTACTATCAGTTTCACGGGGCATAACAATTATAGGCCTGCTGAATGAAACATCCAATTTGAGAGCAGGTGATCCTTCCATATCGGTTTTGCTAACCCACTTCTCTGAGTTAGTCTCATCATCTTTCAGCTTTACAACGGCGTCAGAACTTTTTGGGACAAGTCCCATAAAATAACTGATAATCTGCACACACCAAGAGAAGAAGGGAGCGAGAGAGAAAGATTAAACCATTTGCAGGATTAAGAGACTAAATAAGCTGGAAACACCATACCTCTTGAACAAAACGGTTCAGGTAAACAATTCTAACTTCTGAAAGCTGCCCTACAAGGCTATAGTCATAACCACAATAGTCTTCATCACCAACATTGTATGAACTAAAGTCAATCTGCACAACGATTTCGAAATTGATTATTCTTCTGTGATTCATAAAAGGTTTCTTTTCTAGGACTGACAATGTAAAGCATAATAAGTTATGACCTACATTAAGCAAGTAAAATCAAACAACATGGAATACCTCCACAAACGAACGACCTCCAGGATTTCGCATATCACAAACCCAAAAGTAAGGGTGGCTGCTAAGAAGGCTATCATCACTTATTTTAAGATTTCCGAGTGCTGCCTTTATGCTGAATGACGATGTGAACACCTTGAGTAATTGCCAAGGATAGTTAGTCAGACCCGTGTGGGCATTAAACAAATCAAGCCAAAATAGACCAAACAAACTAGAGATGATCACATTACCTTTATATCAGTGGAGAGGTTATTTTGTGATAAAGTAGCAAGCCGATCTCCATTCTCATTCATCAGTAATATCTGTGCCTCTGCCATGCTGGATGTAAGATGAAAAACTATTCTGCTTTTACCTTTAGCCAGTAACCGTTTTATGGTTGGCTCTGGTTCCAGATCAGACTTAGATTCCTCAATTGTACCATCTTCTACAGTAGCAGGATATGTATTTTTATCTTTATCAGTATCAGACCCGTTTGAAAGGTTGATGGCATTCATAAATTCCATGATTGCAATAACAGTTGGCCGATGGCAAAAGAACGATAAAGTGGCAACAGTTACAACAACCTGGTAAACAAAGAAAATATGAAATATCACACATGATCAAGGGATAGGAGGAATAACTACATCTTTACAGAAAATCTAAGCATGTCCAAGGCACTAGGAGGAATAGTTGTACCTATACAGAAACCATAACAATATTATGTAATGAGATTTTTGAGATATTTACCCTGTTGTCCAAGCTGTTGTACTGGGGGGAATGTTGATCATAAATCACTATCTGAGCTTTCACAAAACTATCGAAAGTGCCACTATCATCCAATGTGAATCCTCCAGTTTGAAGTTCAGTGTCTGGTATCAAATCAGGAATTCGATTAAATGTTGGCGGCCGTAGGGAAGGAACACTAGTAGGCAAAAAGTTCTGGGTGCTAAAATAGTCTGATATAGTCCTCTCTTGATGCATAGGTGTTTCAAATTCATCAAAATCATCTGATGCCTCAAAAAAGTTTTCCTCACTGTCATTTTTCTTAGGTCCTGCACTGTTCTTTCGACTAGGAGACGGGAGTTCTTGGGTTTGCATGCTATTGATAAAAGACCTTGCCAAGAACCTTGGCACAGGACTCCCTGGGTAGTAAAACTGGTCTTCAATTTCTAGTGACCCCAAAATAGTTCCTATCAGTAAATTGCCACCTTTCATAGAGAGTTCAACCTGTTTATTCCAAAAGAAAAAAAAACATATATTAATAAGAGTCACAAAGCAAGGACCACAAAAAAGAAAAGATCGATACCTGGCCACCAACTGCCCGAAATTCAAACAGGCTGCTCTCCTTAGCTAGCAGAATTTTTTTTAGTTTGTGGTTACTCTACAGAAGCATGAGTTGCATCAAAAACACTGAATCAAGGTTAAAAAGAAAATTAGGCGAGAAAGAAATACCTCATAGCCACATGAAAAACATATCTTTAACTCATCAAGAATGCCAGCAACAAATAATTTCTCTGTGTCAGCAACATCGGGAAAGCTGCCTTTGAATGAGTGGGCCTCTGATGGGAGAGCAACTCCAGGAAAGCTTGAAATTGCAGCAGAACCCTAAAAGCAGGCTAATAATTCTATGGATGCCAACAGAAGATAGATATGTAATGAAAAATTGACCAAAAAAAAAAACAAAACAAGGAGTACCGATGCACGGTATACAGCACCCTGTAAACGGCTCTGCCATATCTTGCGTGCCTCGTCATTATCAAACAACAAAATTAAAGCACCAGTGTCTTCCAGAATCTGTAAAAGAATAAAGTTTATTGAGATAATCAATTATGTCAGGGATCTGAAGTAGAACAGAATGTTATGAAGTGCCACTAGACCGTTCCTTGGGATTAACTTGGCCAGAATCATGCAGCGCCAGGATGTTATGAACGCCATTTGTAAGCTCAGTAGGTACCTGATGAACTTGTTTCCCACGTAAACTGCAACTCAACACAAAGGTGTTAAAACAAGTGTCCCGGCACATAAAAATGCAAAAAATAAACATAAACCATTCATATAATCACATGAAATTACTCCGCTGAGGTGCAGCTCCAACGAGGCACCCCAGGAGTGAGATTCAAGTTTCAAATGGTGGCTGGCCATCCAGAATGAATGTGCCACACCCTCAGCTCTGTCCTCTGCTGGGCCTTCCTTGGACCTCAAGCACTCCACACCTACTGTCCCTATCCCAGCAAAAGCTACAGTGGTGCCAGATCTTTGTACACATATGGCCAAGCAGTCTATTCTAGGCGCGGAACATGACAGTATAAACTCCAAACTTGACAGTAACATAGGATTCAGAACTATAGGAAAGTGCATAACCTGAACCATTGCTTGTATGTTGTAGACATTGAATTTTCAAATACATAGAGAAATGGACCCACTAGACGCAAATATCTGTGTTGCCAAGCAGCTTCCCGGTTTCCAACACCCTAACAGTAGGTCATGAAAATGATTTAGAGAAAGAACGTAATTCCAAAATGATTGAACATTAGTGAGTAAATTATAAAAGAATGTAAACCTTCCATGTGAGAAGAGATGACGATCCTTCAAAGTCAGCATGATCCCACAAGTGTTCATGATCTGAACTGCTAATGTCACTAGCACCATCTTGAAAAATTTTAAAAATTTCCATTAAACGATGATAGCGTGCAGGAGAGAAATGAAATCCTAGGGAAGGCACCCGTATCGCCAGTCTTGTGGAAGGATATAGAGGACTTTCTAACTGGATCTGTCCAAAGATGGAACAGCGACCCATGTCATGATGATAACATTTAATAGCCCCCCCCCAAAAAAAAAGGTGTGGGTGGAGTATGTTTACCTGCTGAAGCTTCAAAGCAATCCCACACTTGTCAATTACCGGCAGCAAGTTTGTTTCATCAGATGTTTCATTCCAATGGTAATCACCATCCACCAGAAATGCAGAGACATCACTAAGCACCAAATTGAAGTTTAGATACATATCCTGCTCTTCTGAAGTGGCATCCCATATTTCCTGAAGAAACAAAGTGACGTTAGTAGCACACAAACCAACCACTTAAGATATAAAATGTTACTTGCAAATAGAAGACACAACCTCTGTCCGAAGAACTAAATTTCCAAGGTCAAGCAAAAGCTTAGTCTCATGTACATCATCTGGTCGGAAATTGGTAGGAATGGTAATTTTTGGAGCAGCAATATCCATGTTCAGTGAAAACCTAATAGGGGTTATGTTACGCATTAGTTGGCGTCGAAGAAGGGGTTGACAAAAGAAAATATAGCTAATTCTTTAGTGTAGCTGCAATGACGTAGATATCTAAAGTAACTGAAATACAAACCAACAACATCAGCATAAATTTCATGGTATAGACAAAGTGACAATAATCCTTATTTCAGGGGAAACCACAATCCCTTTTTTCAAATTCCTTTTGAGGTTGAAATTCTAGTAAAATATTTACCCCCCTTCCAGTTAAATATTCTGCATAGACTGTAACTAAGTACTCCCTCTGTTCCAAATTATAAGTCGCTTTGACTTTTTTGGTACATCCATTTTGCTATGCATCTACATATAATAATATGTCTAGATACATATCAAAATGGATGAACCAAAAAAGTCAAAGTGACTTATAATTTGGAACGGAGGGAGTACTAAACTATGGTTGCTTTTTTTATTTCGTTTTTTTACCAAAAAAAATATTAGTCAAAAGAAGCTAATAATGTCCAGGTTTTACCATTGAAAGCTAGGGCTTCTTGGAAAAAAATTTACAGTACCATTCTGTCCTCATCAAAATATTTCTTCAGTATATGAGAATGGTGGAAAACCCACATGAAAATATTTTTTTTAGAATATGAAAATGGAGAAAAAAAAATACACTAACCTGGACTGATCTTTTAGCACCCGAGTCATTTGCTGTTGAGCAGTCCGTTTCACTTCATCTAGTGTCATCTTCACAAAGCAACACAGAATGATCAATCAATCATCTGATCACATGAAACAATCTTGCCTCAAATCGATTTTACTCATAGATACCTGTACAGCAGCAGCGGTCTCTAGTGCCAAGTTCTGGCTAATGGTAGGGCTACTCTTGAAGAAGCCAACAATTTGATCGATTGAATCCTTTAAATACTATAAGAACAAAAACTCAAACAGTGAAATAGTTGAGCAAATGCATGCACACTAAGGTATAATGAGGATAGCAGCTTACAGTTATATAACAAGGAGAAGCTTTAGCTGTCAAACTCCAGTCTAGTTGCTCATCAAAAGGTTTGTAGGAGAAGATGCCAACAAAAGAATCAATGACACTTGCACTCTAGAACATACAGAACACGGAATCGTGTGAGTGGCTACCATAGTTACTAAGTGTAAAAGGCAAATTGAACAGACACAGAAACCTCAGCAAGCAGGCCATATGGAGATAAAAGCCTGTAGGAACCCAGCTTCAAATCAAATATTTTTGCCTCCGGATACATTTTCAAGTTGCAGCAGAAATCTTGACACGAGAGATCAGCAAGGCACTCCGAATCATCAATGGTAAGCTTTGATGCATTATGTTTCATACGTATTTCAAAATCAAATTGCATCAGTTTCATATCCTGTTGATCAGGGATATACTCATTGGTTTCTTTGTACCCAATAATCCGATTTAGTCTTTCCCAATCTTCATCAGTAAAACTCTTTGAATCTTCCTCATCCTTTGAAGAGCCAGTCCTATATGAAGACAGATTAATTGCTGCACATTTAACAATATAGAAGCAATAGAGTTTTATAGGCCAGAAATCAACCATCCAAATGACCACCAGGACTGCTGCTTATTTTGTTGAGCATACTGATATGTTTCCACCGACTGTTCTACAAACTTGTGAGCTAGCATCCTACACAAAATAAGAAGATTGTATGTATCAAATAAAGGTAACTGCACTCATCATTGGCATAAATGATAGGGTGTATGCACATGAATCTCGAATTACATACAAAATTCATCCAAACTGTTGCATGGATGTTTGTCCATTTGCCAATTATTGTGACAAGAATCAAGGATGATGATAAGACGCATAGCAGGTTGTTCAATGTGCATGTGCATTCAGGAAGTGAAGAATCAAGGACATGCACTGTTCAAGGGACTAACTATACAATGTTATACATGTAGAGCTCCAAAAATAAAAGCTCAAAAGCAAGGATGGCCTAATGCAATGATACGCAGATTTTCTGCGTATTTGAGTAAAAAACAAGGATGGCCTATTCAAGAATCAGAGATCTTCTGTCACAGTTGCATGCAAAATAATATTTCATAAAGTGGAAATAGTTGTGAGACGAGACAAGAGTGCACATTGGATACAAGGTGAACATGCAGTTTACGAGAAATAAGTGTGCATATTACTGTTGTTTGTCAGGAAAGAAAGGGTGTGTGCAGAGCGAATGTCAAAGGCTGAAGGTGGGGGTGGGGGTGCAGAGAAAAAAAAAAGGGCGTACCCAGTGCAGAGAGCTCCCGCTCTGTGCGGGGTCTGGGGAAGAGTGTTAGTGGCAAGCCTTACCCTCGCCTGTGCAATGCGAGGAGACCGCGACTCGAACCCGGAACCTTCCGGTCACAGGCAGTAAGACTCTACCGCTTGCACCAGGCCCGCCCTTCAAAGGCTGAACCAATGTCACTGTAGCGCACGTTCACTGTCTTTCATGGGAAAGGGCAGCTGAGCAAGTGGGAAAAACAGTGCAATAAGGTGAACTTCTTTTGCAGACCTAAAGGCCCCCTGTACGAATTTGTGAAGGCAAAACTTTGGCAACCTCCCCAAACTCTACATCACACTCTTTTAGGAATCTCTGGTACAGATCATCATGGGATGCTGCTACCGGCCTTTTCACTTAATATTTGCAGGATAATCCCCATGGAGATGTACTGATGTACTGAGGACAAAAATAGAAGCACATCACCTCCACTGTAGAATAACCTCCATATCAAGTTCACGGTCCATCCTCTTAATCTCCTCATGGTCATCAACAACCAGTCGACTCATGTCAGATTTCAAGAGGGATGCATATAAAGATACATATGCCTTCCGAAGTCTTGCATATCTCAATAATTGCTCCCAAGATAGACTCCCACTGCATCCATAAGTTAGATACATCACCATGAAAGAATCAACAAAGATTGTATTGACATAAAGGCACATGAAATGAGGACATATTTGATGATATTAAAGTTAAAGGAAACACTGTCAAACGAAATATTAGTGATACTACTTGAACACACATGAAGAGAAAAGTACACAAGAAAGCCTTGAATCAGTTGCCAGGCGAACGGTTGAGTCCTCTGTCACTGCTCAACTGCTTTCTTTTTTCTTACATAAACACTACTGACATGTCACATGTGGTACAGTACTACAAAGAAAATTAATGGCCCCACCCAGATAAAGAAAGAAGACAAGCAAATATCCCACAGCATGATTAAAACAAATATTGGGATGTGGATTGGACTTATTATAGGCTAAATGCTATATGTATAGGTAGCCCAAACTGACATTAAAAAAAAAAGGTCACCCAAACTATGCTAGAGGATAATGAAACCAGAAAATTTAAAAAAAACTGAGCACCTTTTGATGCCAGTAAATAATGCATGGAATCTATATATGAATTGGAAGTCAGAGAAGAATGTGCAGATATACATACCTTGCTTTCTTCATTTCCTGAGTCACCGCCTTGTATGCATACTTCCACCAAGCTCGTGGATCCGATTTTACTGGTAAAGATGGTCGGAGATGAGCATATCTCAGCCGTTGATTAAAAGTAGAGAAATTATCAGCCATCTTCAACATGTCCCTGTAGCCATCCTGGTTTGAGGGAAAAGGTATTACTTTTCACAGTGCTTTTGACAAAACTGAGAGAGAAGACAAGAGTACAAACCTTTGACAACGACAGAGTAACATCATCCAAATCAACTGCAGCATTTTGCAATGCTTGTCCTGTTTTCTTTGCCTCAGTAAGTTGTATCTTTGTATATTTTGCTTTGCCAGACACAGGTTGTAAAATGTAGGCATGCTTTTTTGAAGCAGATCTGGAACCATTCTGCTCCTGAAACTCAAAAACCTGAAATGCATTTTACGAACGAATAAAGACTTGGGGCTCTTGGTGGGTTTCAACTCTAGCCTACCCCAACTTGTTTGGGACTGAAAGGCTATGTTGTTGTTGTTGTTGTCGCTGGATGCAAGCAACGGAAGAATAACAGACCCCACCAGAACCTCACTACAGCACCGCGTCTATCAACATTCTACCACATGTTTTTTTCTGGTAGATATTGCCAAAGACAACTGTCTCCAAGCAAATTTATACTCTCAAGCTCAGGTATTTATTTGCGCACGAACACAAGGAGGTACCTGACTCCACTCTGATGGAAGTAAATCCTCCCAGGGTTTATCCACAATCCAAGGACTGCTATCAGAGTCAAAATACACCGCCAGACTCTCAAGTTCAACAGACTGCAAAATGCCAAGTAAGTTAATGAAGTAATGCAAGTTGGTCAAAAGTTAAAAAAAAAAGTCAAACTAAAACAAATAAGCAGACCAAATGTGCCAAATGCTCAATGTATTCACTGCTCAAGCGAACAGAATTCACTACTAGGTCAAAAAAGCTTTACATCAAATTAATCGACCACCAAAATTAGACAAAAAAAAGTGAACTATTGTTGTTTTTTTTACTTTGGAGCCTAATATTCGGCTACGCAAAAGAACAAACAATCATCATTTCTTGAAGGAATTGGTATTTCCTCGTGTACTCACTTTCCGTTCTACATGGATCACAATAAATGGAACTGGACTCCCAGAAGTTGACAGCAGCCATGAGTAATATCAAACTAACCGTGGAAACAAAATGCAGGAACAACTTACCTTTTTCACTCGATCCAAATCGCCACCTGTGGCAAAAGTCTCCTTGCCAAAGTCGTCCACTGTAACTGCTGAAAGCTTTGAAAGTACCAGACCTGCTGCGAAAGGGTGGCCAGGATTGCTACAGCAAACAGGTCAAGGTGTTCTTATACTCCTTGAAAATGTGTAGCCCGAAGGATAAACCACTGAGCAGAACTGAATTACCTCTCTACGTCTTCGTATCTGATATGAATATTGCCAATGGATAACTTGATATTTCCAATTACAGTGCCAATGAAAGACCCAAGCCATGATGAATTCTTCCACAAAAAAGGAAAATCGCAGTGAGAAATGAAAAAAGTATCTAAGATGGTCAGATGTAAACCACACGACAGCAGGAAAAAAATATAGGGAAGGTTGACTGTCCCAACTACACATAGAAACAGTACTGGCACATACTAGTTCAGATTTCAGTTGCTGTTGGCGCTCCAACAATTTGATCTCCATTTCCTGTGTAAACCAAAAAAATCAGTATGTGCATGGATCCAACATTAATTGCAAAAATCACTTAGCTGTCATCAGAAATTTATTACCCTAACTCGACTTCTTTTTGCTTCCTGGACAGCATCCTCGCTGCAACCTTCAACTTGTGTTGCTGGTTCAGCTAGTATAAAAATTCGATCAAGATAAACCAAAACTGGCTCTTGTCCCAACCTGCTCCATGGAACCTAACAATCATTGACACAAACATCCTTGAACCCATTCCTCCGTATTACAGAAAACAAATTCAGTATATGACTATATGTACTAAACCAAAGAAATTACTACTCCAAACCTTGAGCTTCACAGAACCAAGAAAACCAGCTTTGACTCTAACAGGTAATTTCAATGAATTGAGCGCTTCTGGCTTCAGTTGCATGTTTGTGAGCTCTACATCACCTGAAACAATTTTTCAGAAAACAGAACATCATTAGGTAATAGAAGACGTGTCAATGATTAAAAAATGGTCAATAGCTGGTGCAAGAAAATTGTGTCCCCCCTGATCCCCTCGTGCATGTGCACACATGAATGTGGATATCCTCAAGCTCCAGCTAATAACTACACTAAATATCATGGACCACATTGCATTTCGATGTCATCATGAAACCAACGTTAACTTCATCAAACCACATGACCTGAGCTCCCTTACTCGTGCCCTGAAGCCACTAACACAAAAGCCATCTGATGCCTACCATCATCTCATACACTTCTCATGACAAGACTATCATTACAAGTTCAATAGATTCTATGCTCTCACCAAATGTTGAAGCCACATGCCACCTTAATTTCCAAATGAACTTGCGATCTAACATCCAACAATTGATGTAGATGTCTGACAAAAACTAGGCACTCACATACACCCCTGCAATCACTTGCTATGTGAATTCCTCCAAAATATCAATTGAAAATACTGCTACCAACATTCCTGTATTTGTTTTTATCAATTAAGGTTGGGAAGCCATTTATGGCCCATCCAACAAATTTGCTAATTTAGGCCAGTCTCAGTGGGGAGTTTCATCTCCCAGTTTCCAAGACTCAATGTGTTGGAAACAGTGCAGACGAGTTTCATCCCCATAAAACTCATTTCATCCCATGAAACTTTTATCATCTCTTTCTTCATCTATTCCATGTCATGTCAGCTCATTTAATAACACGAAACTCTCATGAAACTCCCATTGAGACTGGCCTTAAAACAAAAGAAACTGATCAGAGAAGAAAAGGTTCTCCTGCTCAGAAGCTACCGCGACTACAGGTGTCATTATGTCCTCTGGGCTTCCATATCATCAGTGCCTAACATGAGTCTGAAAAGCTCTTATAAACAGTCAGGACCAAGAAAACAATGTATTGTATCTTTTCTCTCTCTCCAGAGTCATCATGCTCCATTTTCAAGCACAGTCCAGACTCCAAACAATCAGCATGTTCAGGTGATCAGCTTATCACTGTGAATAAGACAAAGCTCCTTTTTTCAAGATCAGAAAACCCTTGACTAACTGATCATTTACTTAACAAATTTTGTGAGAGTATTCAAGAAAATCAGTGGCCCACAGCACACTCCAGTTACAGTTACTTTGTGTGAACTATCTATACACAAGGAGATACTGCTTGCATCTCCAGCTTTATATTGGTTACCTTATGATATGTTCTCTTTAACAGCAGCCTCCATATTCAGGGATCCAAATACTTCACTCCGAGCAGAGTGCTTTCCTAATTCTGTGATCTTATAAGCTAGCAGTGTGAAAAATTTCACAGATAACCACAGCGCTCTAGCCCTTCTGCTGACAAATTTCTAAGCCAGTTTTACAAAACGCTGGGCTGCTTGAAGACATGCTTCGTGGCTGATGACATCTCGACATTGCGGATTCTGGTAAAAAGGCTCAGATACAAGCATGCAGTATCACACCTGAATGCCCACAACAATGTGTCACCAAGTCAGCTCCGCAATTCTCTGAGCACTGAAACTAGAACCTCTTAGGAACGACGACGAGCTCCACGAGCTCGGCAACGGGCTGTGCGATTCCGGCAGGCCGTTCATTTGGGTCGTGAGGTCCGACGAGGCGCAGAAGCTATCCCAGGATCTCGGCGACAGGTGCAGGGAGAAGGGCCTCGACGTGCCCTGGTGCCCTCAGCTAGAGGTCTTGTCGCATAAGGCCACAGGCTGTTTCATCACGCACTGCGGATGGAACTCGGCAAAGGAGGCGATCGTCGCCGGCGTGCCCATGGTGGGCTTGCCGCGGTCGGCGGACCAGCCAACCACGGCGAAGTACGTGGAGAGCGCGTGGAGGATCGGTCTGCGGATGCAGCTTGACGAGAAGGGCTTGCTGAAGAGGGAGGAGGTGGAGAGGTGCATCAGAGAAGTGATGGAAGGGGAGAGGAAAACAGAGTTCAGGCAGAATGCAGGGAAATGGATGAAGAAGGCCAAGGAGGCGATGCAGGAAGGAGGGAGCTCAGTTTAAAAGCGCAGTTGTGCAGACTTCGTCAGCAGTGTGCAGATCAACAACTCTTTTCAGCACTGCTATGCTCAGGAGGAAATCAACTCAAGAAACATCACAGCCACTTCGATTATTGACTGAGGCTGGTTTAGTTGGCGAAATTTTTTGAGAATGGTACGGTAGCACTTTCGTGGTTACTTGACAATTAGTGCTCAATTATAGTCTAATTAGGTTTAAAAGATTCGTCTCGTGAATTTCGTCTAAACTGTGTAATTAGTTTTATTTTTTATTTATATTTAATGCTTCGTACATGCGTCAAAGATTCGATATGATGGAGAATCTTGAAAGAAACTAAACAGGCACTGATTATTTACCTGCACAATAAATACATATTTCTAGAAGGCAAGTGGCGGCGAGGCGTCCTGACTGACCTCTCCAGACGCTGATCTTCAGCGCCTCCTTGCTGAGCCCCCGGACGTAGTTGCCGAGGTACTTCTGCAGCAGGAAGGCGACCTGGTCCTCCAACATCTCGGCCGCCGCCGGCGATCGGCAGCGCCCGCAGGCGCCGCCACCGCGAGACCCGAAGGTGCGGAGAAGCGCTCCGGCTGTCGGTCCCCTTGCTCGGCGTGGCGCGTGAGAGAGAAGAGAGAGGACTGGGCTAGCAACACAGCAGACAGCCCACAGGCAGGGCAGGCGGTTTTTTTTGTCTTAGGACGAAGTCGAGGAGAAAGGGGAGGAGTAGGGACTAGGGAGGCGGAGGAGATCGCTAGAACAAACAGGTGGCGCGGCTAATGCCCGGAATGCCCTCGCGCGTCAGGGGTATCTATGGATCTTACCTGGCCCGCGATTTACGTAAGGCATCAGGATTATCGGTGGCGCTCTTCGGGGACGGGGCGGTTAGGAAGTGACTCGATCGTCGAGCACGGACGAGAGAGGCCACAGCTGGATCTGTTGAATGAAGGCCAAAACGCAATTAGAGTTGTTAATTGCAGATTAAATATTGCAGTTAAGTAGACTTGTGTGTGAGTAAAATATTGCAAAAAGTGCTTAACGAATTGTTTCTAACTTCTAACAACACGGGGCACACGGCACGTCGGCATACATGGATAGACCGACGCGTGGCGCGGGTGTTATTTGGTGGGCAGCACCGTCGCGCCGGTTGACGGGGTTGAGGCACTCCGCCGTACGGCGCCGGTAGGGTGGACGCGACGAGGTCCTCCGCTTTATCCCCGAGCACGCAAAGGTGGCGGCGCGGGCGGGCCGGCAAGACGAGCTCCTGCGTGGTATGTCTGGGCCCCACAGGACAGACCGTACTTGTGCTGCTTCCATTTTCCTGAGTTCTGACCTCATGTCCAGGACATCGGGTGCGAGCGTGCGGCGTGCCACGGACCCACGGTGCCACCTCGCCCGCCCAGCCGAGGGACACCTGTTATGTTAGCGTTGTCGCGCACCGGCGCTAGCAAACACGAGAGCCGCCGAGTCAGGTTTCGATCCGCGTATAAGCCTAACCACATTTTCTTTTACTAGATCATGTTTGTGCGTTGGAAAATGCAACATGAACAAAATAATTGTACTTTTCATTTTGACATTTGGTTTTGGTAATTAGTCAGCGATTGGATGATTATGACCAAATAAAAACAAAAATGCGCAATGATTGCCGCTATAGTGACCGAGGATTAAAAATTGTTGAACCAATCCAGGCAATTTGAATGCTTGCCTTAGTTCGACCACCGACAAATACATGATAATTTTAAGTCTTGTTATTTAAGAGTGTGTTTTCTATCTCATATCATAGCCTCGTTAGAACTTGACTATGCTCCATGATCTATTCGTCCTATTTTTTTGCTTTTATTTTTTTTTCTTGCCTCATTCGCCTTACAATTTTTTGTTTTCTTTTTTCATATATTTTTTTACATATATATCATGAAAAAATTGATGTGTCTGATGTCTTCTTTAGACTAGTATTTAGGTAAAATTTGGGATTTTAAACAAGCCCCTAACCACATTTTCTTTTACTAGATCGTGTTTGTGTGTTGGAAAATGCAACATGAACAAAATAATGCTTGCAACAGGGACAAAATACATGATAATTTTAAGTCTTGTTATTTAAGAGTGATGTTAATGATGGTGACCATGGCGAAGTCGGGGTGTTTTTCTCATACCCCTTTTCATGTTTGTTTATCTCATAAAATTTTTGCTTTTTTCAATTTTTTCTTTGATGGACTAGTTTTGTTTTTCTCTCATTAATTTCTTTATGATTTTCCTCTACTTTTATACTTAAAAAATCCAAATTCCTCCAAGTATCTCATATCATAGCCTCGTTAGAACTTGGCTATCTTCCATGATCTATTCGTCCTATTTTTTAGCTTTTATTTTTTTCTTGCCTCATTCGCCTTACAATTTTTTGTTTTCTTTTTTCATCCGATTTTTTTAACTTGTCGTTTTTGTCTGATGTATTCTTAGACTCGTTATTAGGTAAATAGTTTGTATTTTCATATTCATGGCTTTAAAATTTTATTTCTTTTCTAATATTGTAGAGTCATTTTAGAACCAAAACATATTATTAAAGATAGAGTTAAATGCATCATTGGTCTATTAACTTTGATAAATGATGCATTTAACTCTTAAAGATATATGAGAACAAGAATATATTGTTTGTCAGCCACCAACATTTTTTTTTTGTACCTCATACAATATTCATGTTTGTTTATCTCATAAAATTTTCGCTTTTTTTCAATTTTCTCTTTGATGGACTAGTTTTGGATTTTCATGGCGTAGTTTCTATTATGATTTTCCTCTACTTTTATACTTACTGAAAATTCTCAACTCGGTAATCATTCATATTTCAGGCGTTCATAAAAGAATGACAGGTCCAATTCTCCCGGCGTAATAATGTGCGAGAACCTGATAGGCAACCCTGAGTGTCTCAGCGACCGAGAGCCCATCCACGCCCACCCGTCGACGTCCCCTCCGGCACCGGCGGCCACCCCAAAAAAGCCAGAGCCCGCCCACAGAGAGCATACCCCGCTGCCCACACCCTGTGGATCCCCAGTAGCACCATCCGTGGATCTCGAGGAAGAGGAGCTCCTGGACTATGGAGAGGCAGAGGAGATTGACGCCATTGATGCTCTCTCCCCTGCTGCCTTTGAAGCCGAAGATGGGATGGCTTCACCGGATCTGCAGCCTAGGCAAGCGCAAGCACCCCGTGGCCTGAGATCTGACACGCCCTCGGCATCCGCGACCTCACCACCGAGATCCGGCGGATCTGCTGACGGCGGCCGGCCTGCCGTCTCGGACAGCTCGCCGCCCCCTTCGGGTGCTATCTCCAATGCGTCAATTGGAGCGCGGGCGCCGACCAAGCTCAAATCCATCCTAGTCCGCCCAGATCGAGTGGCCACACCGCCTGATGCGCCTGCTGACCGTCGCAAGTTGGTGTGGCACAAGCTGGCACTAACGGCAACGGATGTTGCTGCTGCGGGTTCCAATACACAGCAGGATGCTCTGCTTTTCACCAGATTGGCAGAATGGTAGAAGAAAGCATTGGTGGCCCAAGGATGCAGCTCTACAGAAGGTGGATCCTGGGAGCCGAAGGCTTGTGACAGGGGCGGAAGACGGAGCTCTAAGGGGCGCTTTGACCGGCCAGGATGCTTTTAAAAGGCGCCTCTCGGCCGATGCTTCAGGTGCCTCGGCGTCGACCATCAAGTTGCCCAGTGCGGGGACCCTGTGCACTGCCTCAGGTGCAAGGGGCCTGGCCATCATATCTCACGCTACTGCCCCACCCCGCCATCGCCAGCCCATCTCTGCCAACCTGCGTGCAAGACTCACCTTCCCGGCCGGGAGCATCCACAGCCGCATCACATTTCCGCCACTTTGCTCCACCGCACCAGCCTCTTCTCCAGCCACTCAGATCACTTCCAGCTACTCGCCCCGTAGCTTGGCTGAGATGGATCCGATGTTGGAGCACGATCCTGGACATGCCTTGCATCGCCCCAGGCTCATCCGCTCGCGCTCACCGGCTCCGCGCGCCTGGACCAGTGTGGCGACCACGTTTCAGCGCCTATTCCAGTCGGCAGGCCTCGATCCCATGCTTGAGCTTGGCTCCGCCTGGGGATGAATGGGGATGTCAACCTGCTGCATCCCTAGATGATGACCCGATGCTCCTTGAGTTCCAGCTCGCTCAGGCGTTCACCGCTCCGCCTGGAGGCTCCACAGCCCATCCAGAGGGCAACTCCGGAGGCGAAGCGGAGATCACCTTCGGGCCCAGTGTGCAGCTTGTAGCCCCAGAGCAGGCCTTCGACGAAACCTAGCTGTCCGATGTTGTCAATAATACGGAGATTGATGCAGCTTCCCTAGGCTCCGCAGCGGGCCAGAGTGACAACCCGGTCTCGGCCGCTGTCGACCTGGCTGTGACGGCTAGTGCGGCGGCTGCCGGTAACATCATCAATGAGTATGCTGATTTGCAGGGCGTTGAGGACACCGGTGGCTGCACAGGACAGAGGACATGGGCGCCTCCTTCTGCAAGCAGATGTTCAGAAAGGTCCCTGAGCCGGTACTACCGAGGCCAGCCTCACCTCTGGTGGCAGATGTTCAGAAGCAGTTAGACTGTTGAGTACCAGAGGACGCAGAAGGGCACTGGCTCCTACCCGCTCCAGCGTGCGTCCCTCCTCAGGAGGCAGAGTTGCCCTTCTCCATAGCCAGTGGCACGCTCCTGAACTTCTTGAGATCGCCCACCTGGAGCAGGAGTATGGCATGGCCGATCCTCATCTTCTCCTGTGTAAGCAGCTTCTGGTATGCAGGCCGACTCGGAGCCTAGGCGGCCGGAGCGGCGGTCGGGGGCCAGGCCATCGTGGGGCCCAAAATCTTTTACGTATATATAGAATATAGTAAAAATGGTGAAATGCCCATTGGTCATTTCCCACACGTATAAGCCCATGAAAAAAAGAAACGTGATTGGAATATGAGGAGCTGAAACATCACACCATCACAGCTAGGTCTTCGCATTCTCACCTTCTCCGCTTATCGCCCTCTCGCGTACTTGCACAATTGCACTCGTCGTGGCGCCGTGCCACTGTCGTGGCCGTCGGTGGCTCATTGCAGATCAATAATCGATTATAGAATGCAGTGTGGCAACTCCTCGACACTATCGTATTCAGGTAATTCGCTTAATACTAGTAATAAGAACGTTAGGGATGTCTAATTTTAGTCTAAAAGGGCCCTTACCTTCCTTGCCCAAGGGTCATAAAATCTATAGAACCGGGCCTGCTGGTATGGATTTGTAGCTCCTTGTTAGTAGTACCAATACATGGGTGATGGATCTTTGTATTCAACAAGTATTGACAGAGGTCAATTTACCTTCAGGTTGAATGCACCAATACAACTGCACAACCCCGCAAGCGTGTAAAAATGTCAACCAGGGAAGTCTTCACTCACATCATTAGGAGGCAGAAAAAAATGAAGAAAGGGTCTCTACCTCAGCAAATAATCGGACTGAACCAACACTGAACAGTGTGAAGGACTGGCAACTGACAATGACCTGACGTTATTGTGTGAGGAATGACCGCAGCGAGGGTTTTGTCCTAGCCCACCAAGCTAGCACCCCGAGTCATCCTCTCGATTAACGCGGTGATAACTCCTGCATCATGCAAAGGTCTGCGGAGTTGCAACCGGCATGCCCCTCTCGTGTTAGTTGTACTCGTAGGATCAAATTGTAGAGTAACATTCCACGAACCAATCATCAAGGCTGTGTTCGGCTGGTACGAAAATATTGTTCATGCTGGTATGAAAATACTGTTTATATTGGTATTCTGTGAGAGAAAAACACTGCTTCGACTAAAAAAAAATGAGCTAGCCAGCCAAACTATCCCAGCCGAACACAGCCCAAGATCCACAAAGCTCACTTATCATATAACTCAATAAATCAAAGAACTTTATATTGCATTTATGATTATAAGTTCCAAGTACAGAATGCAGTATGAAAGCATTTAGGCCCCTAGTTGGGTTTCGGTGATTAATGACGACACAAGATTACTGTGACTAACGTGTGTTTTGCAGAGACAACTTGAGTTAGGTCATGGTAATGGTGATTGATTGGGAAATTATGGTTTTCATGCCCCTGTCGATGGAAATCGCTTTGGTTTTCAAAGAATGTACAACGAGGTTAAGGACAGACTAGTTCTAAGTGTCGTTTAGCGTTGGGAGACACTTAAAGTAGTTTAGGACTTTGTTTCTTTTCCTTTGGCCGTACTATTAAGAGGGTATGAACTTGTAGCTTGGCCTACATGAGTCTAATGGTTTAGGTGTGGTGCACACTTGTCAAACTTAGCACTAGGTAACTCAAGGACAGCCCATAGATTAGTTGAAGTCGATGTCGTTCACAAAGTTGGTAAAATTTGAGGTGAATGGAGACTTGTATGATGACCGAACGTTGCACCGGACGCACAGGTGCCGTGTCTGCTCAGTGTTAGCTCGCGCAGCTAGGGTGTGTTCATTGACCGGACGCTGGACAGGACTCACAGATGCCGCGTCCGATTAGTATTAGCTCGTGTTGCTAGGGTTTGCTTTTCGACCGGACGCTAAGGACGTCTTGACCTGACGCACTAGAGGTAGCGTATGGTCAACAACAGTAAACATCCAGAGAAGGAAAATTTTTGATCGAACACGTCTGATGGGTGGTGACCGGACGCTAGTCAGAGTCCGGTCTCTAATAACTAGGCTGACGTCATGTAGCCGTTGGCCACTGACCGGACGTGTCCGGTCACCCCCAAAATGTGCTGAGTTGGACCCCAACGAGTATGTTTTAAAGTGGGGAGTATAAATACCTCTTCTACTCGTCCAACTTAGCACTCTTGTCCATATGTTCAGCTGAGAAACACCTTTGGAGTGCAAGGGAGAGCAAGAGCCTAGTGGGGTGATTGAGATTTGATAATCCAAGATTAAGAACCTCATTAGTGCATAGGGAGTATCAAGTGTGCATCCACCCTTCTCATTAGGCTTGTCTTGGTTAAATGAGAGTTTATACTTGTTACTCTTGGTGATCGCCGTCACCTAGACGGCTTAGTGGTGATTGGAAACTTGGTGATCAACCGATGGAGCTTGTGGATGGCCCAAGTCATGGTGTGAGCAGTTGTGGGCGATTCACCGCGATGGAGTGTCAAAGAATTAGCCTGTAGAGAGCACTTGATCCTTGCATGGATCAAGGGGGAGCTACACCCTTACGCGGGTGCTCTAATGAGGACTAGTGGGGAGTGGCAACTCTTCGATACCTCATAAAAATATAGACGCTTTCCTCTTCCTCTCTTTACTTTGAGCATTTACATTTGAGCAATTCAATTCATGTCTCTATATTCCTAGAATTGCCATGCTAGAGTAGGATTAGAACCTAGGGTGCAAAACTCTTATGCGATAAAACAAAAGAAACACTTCTAGTCACAAGGGGGTGAAATGGGCTAAGTGTAGGGCTTAATTATTGCAAGAAATTTAGAATTAGCCTAATTCACCCCCTCCATCTTAGGTATATTGATCCTTTCAATTGGTATCAGAGCCTTGTGCTCCTTCAATTAGGATTAACCGCCTTGAGCAAGATGTCCCACGGAGATGGACCCCCTCCTATCTTTGAGGGAGATGATTTTTCTTACTAGAAAAATTCGCATGGAGACATATCTAGAGGCTTTAGATGTTGGAGTGCTTAGAGCCGCCACACAAGATTTTCCAACACCTAGGGATCCCGCTAACCTTCACGGTGATGAGGTTCACTACGAGAAGTGGAATGCAAAGGCTAGAAACACTCTCTTTAGAGGCCTTTGTAAAGATGTCTTTAACCGTGTGCGGAACCACAAAGACGCTCATTCATTATAGTTGGATATTTGTGCACTCCATGAGGAAACCAAAGTGAGTGTGAGAAACGCAACCACCTTGTAATGAAGAAGCTTAACTCATTTGAAATACTTCCTAGTGAAAATGCTAATAAAATGTATTCACATTTAAATGTTCTTGTAGAGAAAGTCAATGGGCTTGGACTCACTCAAATGCAACCATCCGATATTGTGAGAAAGATTTTGAGTGTCCTTCCCATTAACAAGTATGGGCATATTGTGACGATGCTTCATCAAAGTGATCTTTCCATCGCTACGCCAACTCAAATATTAGGGAAGATCAATGCATATGAGATGTACATGCATATCACTCCTCAAGATGGCTCCTCTTCTACCAAGAAGAAAGATTTGGCTTTCAAGGCTAGCCAAGAGAAGAGAGGCAAAGCAAAAGTTGATCATGATAGCTCAAGTGATGATGAGATTGATGATGCAAGCCTTGCTCCCATGGTGAAAAGAACCACCAAGATTCTCAAGAAGCTAAACAAGAATGGTATCAAGTTTGATGGTAAGAAAAAGAAATTTTTTACTAGTAGTAGAAGGAAGCCCATCTCTGAAATGGATTGCTACAATTGTGGAGATCTTAGTCATCTAGCTCATTAATGCCCCAAACCCAAGAAAAACAAGTACAAGAAGAAGTACAAGGACAAGAAAGATGACTCAAGTGATGATGATGATGATGATGATGAGAAGAAGAACAAACCATACAAAAAGAAGGATAGCAAGAAGAAGGAATTTCATAAGAAGAAGAAGAATGACAAGGCCTATATTATTGGTAATTAGCTCACAGACATTGAATCTTCAAGCGGCTCATCCGATGATGAAAGTGAAAATAAGAAGGAGAAGGTGGCCGCTCCTGTGATTGGTTCTTCACTACATCCACCGACACCACCGTCATCATCCTCTACACACATATGCCTCATGTCCAAGGGTGAACAAAAGGTATAAAATGATGATGATAGTAGTGGTGATGACAATGCTAGTGATGATGAGAATGGTAGTGATAGTGATGAAGAATTTGAATCACCTACTTATGATGATCTTGTCAAATTGTTAAACCAATACACTAAAATCATTAGAAAGACAAGAGCTAAAAATGAGAAGCTGGAACTTGTGAATGACTCACTCTTAGCAAAGTATGACATAGCCAAAAAGCTAATGATGAGCTTAGAGAAGAGAACAAAATTGTGTCATCCAAACTCAAGGAACTCAAAACCTCTAAAAGGGAGGTTAGAGAAAAACATGA